AACAGTCCTGTCCCAAGCTCTCTTGTATGCACACTGTATTCCAGAAGACAAAATCACAAGCCTTACCGTGAATATTTACTCCTTATAACTTACTTATAATTTACTCCTCCCTAAAAGTTCTCCACCTTAGTCAGATGGACCTCTGTATTTTTCCTCCTTTTGATAGTGTTCTCTTAATACCAAAAAGAAGCACTAAAATTACACGTAGGTCAAGGGAACAAACAAGGAGCGATGTTCAGAAATCACACCATTCCTTGGCTGAGGATTTTGAAGGAGATGTAACAGAACAACGAGCCATGCTTTTATCAACCATATATGAGCTTTCTTCACCATGTTGAAGTCTTTTTGAAGATTCAGCCATTTTGAAATCCAGGAAATGATCCTGAAGAATCCCACGCTTACGTTCCTAAGTATGAACCATGAGAGCTTCTGAGTGGACTAACTGCAGAAGATCTGCAGCCATCAGGGCTTCACACTCATGCTTTCCACGTAATCTGCCTTAGAAGTTACCCCTCGCAACAGGACCAGTCTCTAGATGGTAAACATCTACAAATATTTTGGATAACATTTTCGCACCAATAAAACTACAATCACTAAATTGTAAAACAAATGTAACCTAAACCAATGACTTGAGGTGGCAAAGAGTCTCAGAAGGGGCAGTAGCTTAAATGGTTCCAGGCAGAGACCATTTGAGGGCAGAGAATGCTGAAAGGTTAAGTTTGTTTGTACCAGTGGAAGTAGCTACCTTTCTTTCCCCACTGTGTAAGAAAGCTTTTACTTCTGGTGGGATGCACTGATAACAACTGCTAATCAGAGTCAGAGTTATCCTCTTACTTGACCCTGCATCTGACTTTCTTTATCCTACATCTAAGTTCCTTCAACCAACTGTTCATGGCACTGTGTCAGTAATGACTTACTAGCACTTCAAGATTTCTGGAAATTCCTTGGCTCTCCTCCTGTTACCACTCCCAAGTTGGAATACAAGGAAACTTGGCTGGAAAATATTAACAACCTTTGTGTTTTGTCTGCATAGAGAAAAGAATTGCTATAAATCGACTGCTGCTAGCTTAGATATTTTAAAGATTAGCAGAATGAATTGATTTTTAAATTCCCATAAAGAATAAGACCGTTCCACAAAATAAATTTTCTTAAAGGAAACATGAACTTGTAAGTCTACATTCATGTATGTTGTGCCTAATTTTAAGATGAAGTTAATAAATTGCTAAATGGTTAACTTCATCAGTCTGGAGACTTCTGGCACTCGTGACTGATGGTTTGAAAATAAATTTGAGATAGAAATAATAACAAAAAAGGCAAATCACAGTCAGTGCAGTGTCGATAATACTTGTTTGGCTCTTACGATTCGTATCTGCTGTGATCCAATAAAGATCACAACTTAGCAGTGGCTTCCCACTGAGGGACTTAAACTATACAGGATTACGTAGCATTTAGAGACACTGTGCCCTTGCTTTTTTCTGCAAGTATCTGCATTTTGCATGTGGTGACATTCTGAATATTACCTCTGCAGCTAAGAATTCCAAGAATCATCAAGTCCAATATCTACTAAAGCAGGTAAATACAGTTTAATGTTGAAGATGTGGGATGTTCGTGGAAAAATATGTGAAAGAATGTCTTTGAATAAATCTCAGATCTGTTCTGCAAACAACGTGCTTATCAAAAGATGACTTTGAAGGCTTACGAGAGACAGCAAGCATGGTTAGATGAGCAAACCTGGCTTGGAATTGTGCCATGTCCTTGGACCTTCCTACACAAAAATGTTAATAACAATCACACTTGTTCTAAACACAAGAACAGAGAGAATTGTGCACTTGTTCATTTGTATTGATCCTGCCAGATGATGAACCTTTGCTGCAATAGCATTGCTACAATGAGAAGTTACACAGATCCATAACTTTAAATAATCCTTTTTGGCATTGCTTTTCTCTGCCCTCCAGGACTGAGTTTAGCCAGCAAAGTGCAGCCAGGGGCTTGCTGGAGGATTTTGTCTCAGAAGACCCCAACAATGAAAATCTATTGGGTAAGCGTGAAGAGAGGCTGAGATGCTGCTGCTATCCATGTGGGAAGGAGGAGAGCTGAAAATGGGCTTCTCTTGAGGATGGAGCCAGTCCCCCAGAATATACTAAACTATACAACAGAGGCCAAAGTAAACAACATCCAGCAAAAAGTATTTGCAGACGTAGATAAAGCTTAGCTCTCCCCTCTGCATGTAGTAGACTCTGTCCTCTTGACAGCGACCCGCTGAGGATAACCGTGATGATATTTTCTTCAGGTACTGAGGGAACCATCGCTGGCTGGGCTAAGCAGTACAGATCTGCACCGCAGCAGGTGGAGAAGGAAACATACTGTATGTTGTCAAAGTTCTCAACAATGACTCAGAGATGTTCTCAGTGTTTGCTTGCTTGTCAGCAGGGCAGCTGCTGTTACTGCTGCTGAGAGCAGGCTTACATTTTTTCTTAAGGTAAGAAGAAGGTATCAACACGGAAAGGAAGAGTCTAAAAGGCACTTGGACTGCATTAGTTAAAACTTACTGTGGTAAACGGGTTGGTTTGTATCTCTCACAAAGTCTGTTTGTTTACAAAGGACACTGAGACTTGTTACATCATGGCAATAGATTCTTCATGCTTTTCCTGACAGCTGATTGGACATGTGCAGTTCCTATGCAGGGGCACAGGTTGGTGAAGTTTTCTATATGGCTTGTAGGTTTTTTTTTTTCTCTTCTCTATACCATCAGCAATCTGGCAAACAGCCACTTGAAGCTTCAAGATTACAGAACACGCTTCTAAATGTGACCTCTTTTGGGAAATGGTCTCTCTGGTTGGAAATATTCTATTACTTTCCAAGTTACCAACTGGAAAACAATGAAACATCCCTGACCAGTATTCCTCTAGCCACACCGGTGAGAAGTCCCCTGTATGGGCAACCTGCACACAAGGAACCATTTATTAAACAAGATCTCAAAACAGATGGTTGAAGTCACAGCAAAATCTGTGCAGATGAAAGCAGCAAGCCTTAATTGCAATAACTCTAACTAGGCTGGCAGGGGAATTCTCCTAGCTGCAGAACATTTTCTTGCTGGTCAGCCTTGACAGCTCACCATTGCTTGAGGAAGCAGAGCCAATCTATCACTTTTAGCACTTCAGCAGGTGATTAACCAGCAGCTGAGTCATCCCTGGCCAGGGCTAGCACATCCCAAACCAGGGGAGGGGTGGATTGCTGGGGAAAGGAAGCACAACAAATCTTCCTCTGCTAATTCATGCCATCTGGAAGTGACAGCCTGTGGGCCTGCAGCTTTATTTGCAAAATATTGTTTACGATTTTTATTACAAGGACTATAGGGAATAAGACTTAATTATATTTAACAGTTCATCATCATTACACAAACTGTTGTTCAGCATTCAGCTTCAGAAAACAGGAAGCAATACTCATAAGATTGGTTTCTCAGGTTTTGGTTTTTTTTTTTCCAGACTATTGTTGGTAAGATGTCAAACAATTAGATGGGAAAACTGGAATGGAACCCAGTGTCATGCAGTTGGAGTCTTTTGGTGTGAGAGGGCTTTTTGGTGAGCCACAAAGGATATGAGCTGTTGCAGTCTTGACTCATCAATTTTGCTGGTGATAATCCAAACTTATACGGGAGGTCTCTTGGCGCAAGAGTTTGTAATAGAAGGGCAACAAACACAGATGATCCACTGCAAGCAGACACTGTGCAGTGCCTGCAGCTCACGTGTTCCAGCACTTGCACAATCACTTTAAGTGCAAAATTACATAAAACCAGCATTAACCCAACCAGAACTGTTCTCCATAAGCTGCAGGGTTAGAAGTTCTAACCAAGTGAGGGAACCCACAAGCGTGAGAACTGGCGTATGCCTGAAGGTGCATCTATGCAAAGGCAAAAGGACTGGTGAAAGGGGCAGGATCTCCACCATTTGGCAACAAGAAGTTGTCCAATAGCTCAGCTGTCTAATTTAGCTCTCAGTACAACACTCTGTTTCCAGATCTCAGCTGCAATTTTATATATATTTACATATATATATATATCGCTATCAACTACTGTAAAAATAAGTTTCCTTGCACTATAACCAATAATCAAATACACAATGCTGCAAGATAAACATACACAGTGGATTATCCATTAACCCACAAAGCAAGAAAGCCAAATTCACAAAGTAACAGTTTAGAACACTTGGTTACAGTCAAAACATGTCTTGAAAGTCACTTTGATCTGTTGTTTCCAGTGTAAGGGACCATCCATTGCAGTTCCACCCTGACATGGGGCTGGGCAGAATTTCTACCATAAAGACTGTGGTGAGCAAGTGGACAAGTTTGTTTTCTCAAAGGAAAAACAGACTGCAGTCTACCCTCAGGACAAGGGAATTGATGAGAATGAGGCTCTGGGATTCTGTAAGGGTGCACGAATGGAGGCAAGACAGTCCCACAGCCTTTCCTTTTTGCCTCTGCTTCCCCAGACAGGAAGGGGAGCTGGGAACTGAGTATGTGATGCAGGTTCTGGAGGAAGCTACATGAAAGCATAAAAGCATTGGGAGTGTGATATCAACAGGTGAATAAGGATATGAGATCAAACAGCTGTGCACATCCATACTACAACCACAGCCTGAGATATGCTAAGAGCTCAACACTCACAGGGAAGAAATAGTGCCTAAGAGCACAGCTTTCCACATTCTGAGAACCTCATCTGAAGTGCACCATGTGTGCCTGGAGCTACAAATTCAAGAGTCAGTAGCAGCACTGGGGATGCCTCAGGCCTACAGAAAAAGAACAGGGCACAGACTGCACCTGCCCTGTCCACATGCAACAGCTGTGACTGAGACACAGACTCCATCCGCAGACTTGGAAACTCTAATACCTCAAGAGCAAGAGAAGTTCTAGGTGTTATTCAAAAAAGTGAAGAGCCTTGGCCTAGATATGCTTTTTTTTTTTTTTTTAAACTAAAGAAGTCGATTTTAGATTGGCAGTAACCATTGTTTTCTGGAAAACTTTTTTTTTTTTTTTTTAAGATAATATTTAATAAAAACGAAATTTTAAAACAAGATATACTGTTGTAAAGTCTGCAAATACTCTCAAGCTATTCTATTTTTCCATTCAGTATCCTGTTGGCTTGAATTATCCTTATAAATGATACTAAGCTTAATAACATCCAAATAGTTTAAACAGGTCTCAAAGAAGAGGGGAAAAAATGCTTCATCTTGAGAACTGAAATGTGATTGCCTTGACAGAGAGGAAACCAGCACACAATCATATGCATTCACTGAACACTGACAAATAAGCGTCTTGAGGCCCTGGTTTTTATAGTACCTGAGGAAGAAGAGCACCCGTTGTGTAAGCTGCCTGTCAGGAATAGAAAAATACTACTTTGGTTTCCTATTAGCATCTCCGCTGAATCAAAAAGTACTGCAGCTGTGCTGGGGGGCCAGAGGTGGACATTTTCACTTAACGGCAAAGCTGATCACTGGAGGCAGAATCATTAAGGCTAGAAAAGACCTCTGAAGATGATCTAGTCTGCTAGCACAACACATCAGAATAGGTTACAAGAACAGAGATGCCTTTCAATAAATCCATTACAGATATGATGATTGTGATGTCACTGTTGGGACACAATAGGGGTAATGCTGCTAAAAGAATGAAAATTAAAATACAAACATAATTTAAAGAACAGTGAAATAACACTTGAATTTATTTTGAAATGCCCAGTTCCACACAAAGCCCAGTGCAGGAAGCCTGGAGCCACCCCCCTCCCTCCCCAGCACACCCTCTCTGGGTGGGAAACCCCAAGGCCACAGCTCTGCTCCTGCCCCCAGCACACACTGCGAACACAGGTTGCTTAATAAGCAACCAATTGTACCATGCTAATAAAAATACGTTTCTTGGCAAAAGCACTTGATTTGGCTCCATCTCACTTGATGAAAAGTGGTTTATTAAATTAGGTCAATTTGCTTACCTAAAGTTCACTGAAAGTGTTCTTGCAATACCACATGTTGAGTATCCTTCTAAGGGCTCATAGAAGAACACCTGCAAGCTGCTTACGTCAGAAGCATCAATCCCTGACTAAACAGCAGGTTCTGTTCCTCTCTCCCAGCAATGTGAATGCTGAGCTGCAGATACATCATGAGGAAATACATGTGCATAAAAATCTTTCTCCCTGCAAGTGAACACCTTCTCTATACCTAGCAGAGGATTGCAAAGAAAACCATAAATGAAGACATTGTAACATTTTCAGTTAGCAAATTACTCTGATTTTAGAAACCAATGTCTGCTTGCCACCATTACACATATGCCAAGTTCATAGAATCACAAAGTTGGAAATGACCTGCAAGATCATCTAGTCCAACTGTCCTCCCATTACCATTGCTACCACAAGCACTAACCCATCTCTTACAGCTCCTCATCCAGACACCTCTTGAACACTGCCAGGGACAGCAACTCCACCACCTCCCTGGGCAGCCATTCCAGTGCCTGACCACTCTCTGAGAGAAATGGTTCTTCCTTATATCCAACCTAAACCTCCTCTGGTACAACTTGCAGCCATTTCCCCAGGTTCTGTTTGTTGCCTGGGAGAAGAGGCCAAACTCCTCCTCACCACAACCTCCCTTCAGGAAGTTGCAGAGTGCAGTGAGGTCTCCTCCAAGCCTCCTCTTCTCCAGAAGAAATCCCAGCTCATCCAACCACTCCTCCTAAGACTAGCAGGAAGTGCCCTCACGAGCACATGGGAACAACCAGCCTGCATTTCCAGACCAGCACAAACCTGTACCATTTGGGTCAGAGAACTGCTGTACTCAAAACAGGGGTCACCTGCAGGTAACCACAGGTGGCTTCACAACAGCTTGTCCAGGAGCCTTATCTCCTGTGGCTGCCAATTAGGGAAGACAGAGAGATTCTGATGCCCACTTGCTCCTGGTGGGGGATTTTCCCACACTACAGAACAGAGAAGCACACTGTGAACTCCTTTAATTCCACAGAAACCCTAAAAGAGCTGAGGTGTTAAGGTATTTATTAACATATTTGATTCTCAGGGTTTTGAGTGTTAAAATTTAGAGGGCAGAAAGCTGAAAAATACTTCTAGTGTGTGGGTAGATGAACAGTGACTAACAAAGGCAGCAATGAGGGATTGAGAAACAGCTGCTGAAGGGCATCACCGCAGATTCTGGCATCACCTAACACCCTGAAAGAAGAAAATGAATGTCCTCCCTCTCATTCCCACATCAGCATACCTCACAGAGTGCAAGTGGGCACTCCCATGGACTGGACCAGTGATAAGCTTACTCTGTAAAAAGCCATCCCATTTGCACTGCCAGTATGAAAGGATGCAGTGCAACGTCATCCTCTGGTCACTTCTGATGCTTCAGGTACTAGGAAAAAATTCTCCTCAAATGAGTGGTAAGGCACTGGAATAGGCTGCTGAAGGATGCAGGACGAGTCACTATTGCTGGAGGTTTTCAAGAATGCATTGATGTAACACTGAAGGATATGGTTAGTGGGCATGGTAGCAGCAGTGAGTTGACAGTTGGACTAGATGACCTTAGATGTCTTTCCCAACCTTAATGGTTATGATTCAAAGCATTGGGCACTCACAGGCTCCAGCTGTCTACAGATAGCCAATAAGCATGCCCTTAGGAACCTACAGTTTAAAGAGTCAAAACACTTCTTCTATTCTGTACAGGATTAGTCAGCCCAGAATCATACACTAACCATCATCTTTAACCTGCTGAAGGAGCTGCTTTTGCCTGTCAAGTAGAAGAGAATTAAAACACAGCATTTTTTGGAGCCAGTCAAGTCTGTTTGAACCTATCAGCCATCAGGAATCTCAGAGCTGAAGTCTGACACAGGAGGAAACGGCAATTTCACAAAGCACACTCTACCTAAAGGTCTGCCCCTTTACCCCTTCACTACTTCCCATGCACTGAAGCAAGCACTGTGTTACAAGAATACGCCAGTGCAGCAACTTGGTTCAATTTCACTCCACTGGCACCGGCTGCCCAGCAAGGCAGCAGAAGCCCCATCCCAGGGGACATGCAAGGTTAGGCTGGATGAGGATCTGAGCAACCTGATGCAGTGTAGGTGCCCCTGCTCATTGCAGAGGAGTTGGCCAGATGACCTTTAGAGGTCCCTTCCAACTCAAACAACTGTATAATTCCATGATCTAAATCAGCAGAAGACACCTGAATTCCTGCCACTCAAGTTCTCACGTGCAGCCTTGTCCATCACTTAACCAGTTACACACAGCCAAGAGCTGCTCAGCAGTCCATACTGCAAGGAATTATGATCATTCGTAAGTTTGAGATATCAACCTATTTCTACTATTAGTCTAATATCATCTCAAGTGTTATTTCCTTTCAGGACATTTAGTATTCCTTTTCTATCTTGAGCATAAGCTTTCTTGTTTGTCTTTCTTAGTTACTTTGAAATTATGATCTATTTTGGAACAACTCCAAAGCATAATTATGTTTTCAATTTATTTTACATCTCACTGATATAACAAGGCTTACAATTGTCTGTACATGTAACATTGATATTTGATAGACAATAGTTCAATTTTAAGTATATGCAAAAAAGTATAAAAAGTATATGCAAAAATCTGACCCTTGACCCACAAGGTTCTGAACTACATAGTTCAGAGGGTTTTTATTTCTTGAACATGAATGTTGGGTGATGTTTAACTGCTTCTACTGAAAAGCAGTTAAAACATTTTGTATTCTTCACTTCCAGTAAGAATAAATAGAGCACCAAATTTTGTTACTGATTGGTTGCCTACTTTCTGCTTTAAATTGCTGATCCATAGCATGCACAGAATGGTGTTTTGCAATAATTGAGAGCCATTAATCTTATTTTACAGGACAATGGATGACATCAATATTCCCTGGCACACAGAGCAAGGTATTGTGCCAAGAAAGTGTTATGCAAAGCATTAAGAAAATAGAATACCATCATCATCCTTGAAGGTACTGAAGTACAGGAATTTAACAGCACTCTCCAGAAAGAAAGGTTGAATTGAAAAGTCTTCATGAAGAAAATACAAAATATATTGCAGAAGGTGTAAGTTAAGAATATTAAGTGCTGAGATAGAAAACATAGGTAGTAAAAGATGCAGATATTTCTGTGCCACTGAAGCTGCTAGAAACAAGAGTCTCTTCACTAAAAGCAAAGAAATGACATTGCACAGTAAAAAAAACTAAAAGAGAAGGAACTGTAGTAGTGCTCATAAAGTGGTAAAAACATTTTAAAACACAAACTTGTCATCAACTGAAAGCATTTGTTTTAATAGTAGCTTCAGGAGGCGGACCGTAGCTTGTATCCACTGAACTAACTCAGCTGAAATCAAAGGAGGCAACGTGTTTCTCATACTGAAACCAAAACTAAATGCTTGAAAAGTAGCAAATATTGAGCAATTAGAGATTTTCATTCTTGTTTCAAGTCTGCAAACTGCCAACACTTAACTGTCAGGAAATGTTTCCAGTGGACAGCTGCTTATCAAAGTAAAGCAGTAGCCCAAGCGCAGCAGTGCTTGAATGTGCCAAGCAATGGCAAAATTGAATTCAACTAGGTCAAGTTTCAAGTAAATAGCAGATTGTAGAATAATTCCTGAAATAGATTAGGACTGGGGCTTCAGATGAAATCTGCTCAAATTGTACACTACACACCTCACACAGCTCTGAAATAGGCACTGTGAATAGGAGTAATCTTTTACAGGCAGTAAAGACCTAAGAGTAAACTGGAAGTCAACTTGGCAGGAGTGGAAAACTGTATATAAAGAAATAAAGAAAACAATTCTAAAAATTAATTTTTAAAAGGATGTTTTTAGAAAACAATAGTGGTATGCCTAACTCCAGTGGCTATGAAGATTTTATTCACTCTAAAAACCGCAACCAAAAGAAACCCATCTTATTTATGGAAGACTCATGCTAGTCCAACTTCTTTGGTTTTGTAAAATAATATATAATAAATTGCAATGACTCCCACAGACAGCATAAGAAAGTGTTTGGACTCTATGATCCTTGTGAGTCCCTCCCAGTTCAGGATAATCTATGATTCTAAGACTGAATGGCCTCACATCCCTTCAGAAGACATTTTCTAGGCAAGCTACTGTTAATAACTAGGTCAGCCACTGTGCTACTTCAGGATCTGAAAGACACAAGTATCTGTTGTGGTTCTCAGCCTCAGAAGTTTCAGTATTATTTGTTTCTGCAGTGCCACAGCTGCGTGCAGCATTCTACAGACTGCTGCTGAAGGAGCTGACAGCTCAAATTAAACACAAAGCACCACCATAAAACAAATCAGACTCAAAAAGCACTCAAAGAGCTATCAGAACTTCTAAAAACCTGAAGTTTTCACTGCTAACTGAAAAGCCGTTCAGTTAGCATTTCATATACGTAGACATCCCATCTTGGAGTCTGCTGCTGGAGGAAGACTTTCTTTTTAATCCCTGGATGTGAGCTATGGAAATGTGTTTTGGGGCTGAAAGGGAAGCTAGAGTTGTAAGAAAAAGGCAGGAAAGAGGTTCCAGGCAGAGTTAACAGAAATCAGTTGTGAAAGTGAAGACTGGCAAAAGGCAGTCAAGGAAGAAACTACTGTAGAATGATACCTCCACAACAAACTTGACACCACATACATAGATGTCAATCCTGAAGTTACAAGACAAGCTAAGAAGCAAATCAATCAAAAAGCAAGAAAGCCAGATATAAGTCAGGAGATGAAATAGTATTGTACATGAGGAAAATCCACAAGACTGAAGTCATAGGAAAATGAGAGTCTAAGGGCAGGATTTGCACTAGCGCAAGGAAAAGGCTGACATTATTTAGTGAGATGCTAACAGGGAAGACAGGCTAATTTTAAAAGAGTTTCAGGTTAGCTGCATTTAGTTCAGCATCAAGTGTCAAGTGGGAAGTAATCGTGTGATTTAAAGACTTCACCTGTATTGAAAGTGTTAGAACTGCAGTCACTCACAAAAGGATTTGGACAAAGAAGGCACCAAGATAGAACCCTGAAGAATGGAGTGAGAATTTATTCAAATCTGATGAGTCTTATCTATAGAAACAGATAAAAACATACTGAAGCCTTAATAGTCCATTTAGTCCATTAGCATTTAGTGGGTATAAATGTAATTTTCTATCCAACAGGTAGCAATAACAATTAAAAAATATCTGAAGTATATCTATATTATCCATTCCTTTCCATACTTTACTAGTCAGAGAAGACCAAGAACACCCAAAGCTGCAGTACATGCAACGATCTGCCTATCAAAGCTTTACCTACTGAACCCAAAGATGTTTTCAGGACTCTGGAGCTAAATGGCTAACACCTACAGGAGCACCAAGTCATACCCACCTTGGGAGCAGAAAGCATCACAGCAGTCTTGCACTATAGGATTACAGGAACCACAAGACTGTAAAACAAAGACACATCTGGACGTTCACCTGGGCCTGGCAGAAAGCCCAGAGCTACTGCTGGTTCAGTGCTCAGCTCTGAGCAAGAGACCTCAGTGGAAAAAAAGATACTCTGGAGGACCATTCTTAAAGGTTTCTCAGGCTACACATAAACTCCCTATCTCCAGCATTTTAGACTCTCACCTTCCTCATCTCTTTATAGTATAGAGGCAACATCCAGCCTTCCCTTCTCCTAAATGAATTTCAGATTTTAAATCTGTGGAAGAGGCTTAAAAAAAAAAAAAAACAACAAAAAAACACCTAGAAAGACAGCAGTGGTTAGCAATGTTGTTTTCATGCAGCCTCTGTTGTACAACAGCACCATCCAGCTGTCAAACAAAAAAATGAAACAGTTCACCACCACGATCCAGATTTAGTTTTGTACCACAAAAAACTAAGTTAAAACTAGCAAACAAAACCCACAAAAAGTCTTCTCCTTCCCAAACGAATTGCATTGGTCCTTCATGTTTTGCTCCTGTGTTAGCACAGAAGATTGCGTGCTTGCGTTAGTGAAGCAAGGAGTCCAACCCGATTTATTTCTGCCCAGAAAGCCTGGCAGTCTACAACTTACCTCAGTGCTTGATGTGCAGAATATCAACTCTCAGACACGAAGAAAATACCATTACCTTTGGCTCACAACCAAAGACAGTTAACCACACTACAAAAATTAACCAAAAAATAGTTTCATAAATAACAGCTTATGTGTTTGCTGCCATAATTTACCACTCCATAGCCTCAGAAGTGAAACTAGGAACAATAACCTGAAGTGAACGGAAGAAAACAAAGACTCAAACTTCACTAATGGATTGAATTATATTATTGAATTATTTTTAGAACAAATCTGGGGAAGGAAGAAGTTTAATAAAGCATGTGCAATACACAACTGAATAAGCAACATCCCTCACAACAGATAACTGTTACCTGAATGCAATCTTAACGTCACTGCTTACACTGCTGCCACTTCATCAAAAAAGATCAGGCTTGCCATAAAGCCTGAAAGTAACTTACCTTGTATGTCCACTGATGATCAGAAAGTCTAATACTAGAGAATTGCTCTTGCATTACACATGCCTTAAGCTCACCCTGCAATCCCATATTTTTGCATTGTGAAATAGCTCCAGCAGGGAATACATCTCTTCCTCTAACTTTCTGAATTCAAGTCCTATTTCTTTAGACGCAGTACAGCAGATACCTCGAACTGCCACATGTCAACCATCCTTTAAGAGAAGGAAATGAGCAGAAATTCCTCCAGAAAACATTAGCAGGAAAAAAAAATGAAAATGTAAAAACCCACTAGGAGTATGGCTATTCTTACACTCACATCTGAAAGAAAGATTCTGGGTGAGACAGCTTCAAGAAACTTCAACTCATGCAAGAAAACAGATTTAAGTGCAAGTCCAGAGCCAGAGTGCAGCAAGAAGAAAACAGCAAGCACTAGAATAATAACTAAAGCCCTAAGAGCAAAGACACCATGCCTAAAGATGCAGCAAAGGTACCAAATGACAAACTTGTGCCAAGTGGGAGAGAAGGTGCACTCAGACAAGCAAAGCAGCAAGACTAGAAAAGTCCAGAGATACAATACAAGAAGACAGCCAGCTAGCCAAAATTCAGAGAGCAGGAAGATTAAATAAAAGTATGGCCAATGAGGAAGTAGCACCAGTAAGCCTAACTAACAAAAGCAAGGAATTCTCCACTCACATGGAGAACACTGGATCTTCAGGAAGAAGAGCTGTATTAGAAAGTCATTGCAGGACTAGATCATTAGAGCAGAGAAAGAACAAAGTTACTAAAAAATGCTGGAATTGGAACAGGCTAAAAATGTTCAAATTATTGCACAGAAGAATTTGTGCCAAACTGGAAAGAACTCCTAAATAGGAGGGTATTGGAACAATTTAGACACGGTGGGCAAGGGAGAGCCTTCGAATCCAGTATGGAAGCTTCTCCTCTGCTCCAAACAAAAACACAATCACTAACAGCAAAGTCTGAATTTTAAGTAGAGACAAAATAATCCAAAATAAAGAATCTCATGATCTTCACTGAAGAAGGTCTACTTCCCTTGCCAGGAACACACAAGAGAACTTATGACATGGTTTGGAGGCCAGACAGCTATTCTCAGAGAACTGCGCACTCAAGAGGCATAGAGTTACACTCTTTCCAGTAACAAAAAGGGCACGATCAACCCGCTTCAAAACTCAGGTATAAAAGGAGAGCAGCCAGAAAGACAGGAGGAAAAGTAGATCCCATTAGTTACTAGTCAGTCAAATGGCAAGGGGGAAGGTGAAAATAGCATAAAACTGCTACTAACATAGAAATAGGCCTTGAGTGGAAAGCAATGAGACAAGCCAGACAGAGGGAAAAACAGGAAGCTATGAAGTCTTTCCAAAACAGTCTAAATAGAGAGACAACACTTTTACACCATCCTCCAAGAGGTCAGCCAGAGTTCTGCCAATTTAATCGCAGTATGTCTTAAAAGGTTTTCACATGGAACTTGAGCTCATGACAGTGGTTTTTCCATTTTACCACAGGGTGTGAGGTAGCCAGGACATTAGAAAACACTGAAGGTAAAGAAAACAAGTGTTTCTAGACAGCATCTGATTACTCTTAGTAGATGCCCAGTTTAGATAAGGAATCAGTTTTAAGTAAGACTGGAGTAGCCTATTCAAACCGAGCTTTGTAGTCTTGTATGAGTAAGCATTTCCAAACCCAGAGCTTCAGCTGTCCAGAGTCTTAGATAGATGTACTATAGTTAAACCTGCTATGTCACTCCAAGTGCATGTTTACATGCCTACAAAGTCCCCAACCCCCTCCAACAGCCAAGTATCTATTTACTATCCACCAAAGGTACTATTCAGCTGAGACTAGTTCAGTTCCATCTTCACCAACCTCTCTAACCTTGTACCAAGCAAAGCCTGGACATCTGATTTATAGCAACCTTCTGCTTACATCAATGAAGAGCTGTAATCTTACTGACAGCTTGCTGGAATTGGGATTTTAGTTCATGAATACTGTTATTTAAAGAAGGGACACTGAAAACAACACATGAAAACAGTGACAGGACTACCCATGATAAGCTTAGAATATTAGTCAGAATAGCTACATACAAGAGATTTTGCACATACTAGTCCTTTACTAGTCTTTCTAAACATACACAGCCCTTAAAGCTTACAACTATTAGAAAAGTTAGAACTTAGAATTGCAAATCTTAGGAGCCTTTACTATTTCACAGCATTTAGCGTTTCACAGCATGTTAGCTTCTACTTCCAAGGTGTCTCGACAAGCTGTGCTGGTACCCACGTCTTCTAGTGAGACACTAAACACCAGTGAGGAAGAGTACAAATAGAACTAGTCCTGTCTTAGAAAGCTCACACTTCAAAATTTAGGAGCTTACTTTAATCCAAGCTACGGCAACAGTGAAGTCCAGTTTACAAGAGGGCAACCTGCTGCTGTTAAGTCTTCGTATGTACAGTGAAAACAGTAAAACAATGCAAGTTTGTAGTCAGTATGGCTTCTCTACCGATTCCAAGATTTTCTTTCTCTCTTCTGCTGATGGCATCTCCGGTTTCACACCATTTCTTTTCCTTTGCATCATAATGTCATGCTGAAAACAGAAGAAAGTAAGCATGAGAACACTGATTTCTCAAAAGTCTCTGCCCCTGAGCTCCTGCTGAATAAGATCCTTCAACTGAAGTACTCTTATATACAAGGAGCCAGATACTCTAGATCTGATTAGCTGACAACTAAACGTACCAGTATTTAACTGAAGCTATCTGATAGCTCACCTTGCAGCTTCACATTACAGCATTCCCATGACACAGACGACTATGCAATTGTCTGTAAACAGGTTTTTTTGAAGTTCATACAAGCATTTAAAGGCATAAACTGAAAGACTATTACAGTGGCATAAGGACTAAAGACAGCAGAGAACAGTTGAACTGCATGGGATTGTATCACCCATATCCATGTGCACAGAAGTGCCCAGTCCCTCAAGATCCTTTCCCACCACTATACAGGAGAAAAAAAAAAAATAAAATGAAATCACCACCAAACAGTGAACTCCTCCTGAGCGTTATCTCAGATTGAAGCAAACATGAGCCTAAGCAACAAAAACAGATCAACTTGTCTTACCTCTCTTTACTTACTTTACTTGTCTCACTTTCTTTACGTGCATTTAAAAAAAAAAAAAAAACTTACTGACAAAAATATCTGACTAACTTAGAGGGAAATAAACTGCAAGAACACTGACTCACAATTTCAGAGAGTAAGTCTTCCAGCACCACATACTAAATATTTAGGAATCTAGCACCTTCATGCAGGCATAAGAACAGCAGTAGCAAGCGGTACAGTCCAAAGAGTTCAGAAAACACTGTCAGAAATAATATACTTGAAACAAGATAAGGAGTAAAATTTAGGAAAAAAAAAATCTGTGGTGCTTAAGGAAACCTGCTTACCCAGAATTTTCTGCAGTTTTTGTACTTCAAAAAATAATCAGTACACATATCCTTTTTATAGTTGTTGTCATCCATACATTTTCTAGAGGCATCTGTTTCCTTAAATAGGAAAAACAAGCTTCAGAGCTGAGAGAAGTTACTGTACTCAGTGTCTAAAAATTCTAACAGGTCTCAGAGTATCTACAAAGATAGGAGACAGCTTCTCAGATGAATGAACTATATCAAAGGGAACATCTACCAAAACAGATAATCAGTAATTCCCAAGCAATTACTTCATTTGGAAATTGTAACAAACATAGTATTCCTTAAATAGTAAGAAGAAAGTCCACAAAACAATTGTTTACAGAGATCCATCGTATAACCCAGAGAAGAATATTAAGATTACCCTTCAAGCTTGTCTATCTGGGATTTCAACCGGTTTTATGGACAGAACAATAAAGCAGTAAGTTGTATTATTCTCATTTATAAGTAACTACAGACTTATTTCATATGTAATTTACTACACGTGTTTTTCAATCTTTCCCATTTTCAGGCTCTAAGAAACATTCAGTGCATACTACTGATGCAGGAGTGCTCCCAATAATGCAATTTCTAGAGGAATTATTTCTGCATTTTGACCTAGAAACATACAAACAGAAATCCCAACTTGATCTTACCGCTATGCAAGGATTTCTGTCATGATCTCTAAGCTGCTGTGCATACTTGGGCATTCTAGACACTCGTACCCTGGCTAGAAACAGAAAAGAAATGAGTTAAGTATCACCTTTTAATAGTGACAGAGTACTAAGTTTGAATTTCAGCATCTAATGAATGACTTCAGTAGTGCACACAAACAGGTTTTGTGGGTTGGTTTCTTCTTACAGCTTTTTTTGTTTGTATTTTTCAGTAAGCTGCTTTTGCGAAATTCCAAAGCACCAACAAGACGACAGCTCAGGCAAGTTAACTTATCACCAAGACTGCTTCCACCTAGATAAGTTCCTTCAGAATGACTGAAGGGAGCCACTCTTCTACTGGACTACCACACTGAGAAAGCAAACATCTGGGAGAAACAGTTTTGTGGAAACTCTTCAAACCAATACACTTTAAAAACCTCAGCAAATACAGCAGGGAACAGACCTGTCCCTACTCCTTAGCTCGACCGCATCACGCATATGCACAGAAGTGCCCAGCCTCCCGCTGCACCAGACAATTAACAAAGAGAAATTACTCCATTGTAAGGATGACTGGATTTCCCTATGCCATACAGGACAGCTTGAATCACATTTTTCAGCTGTTTACTAGTTTGAAACAGGCTCTAGGAACTGCAAGCTGAAGATATTTCAGTGCCAATAACCCACAGTAATCCAAGATGAGGACATAAAGAAGAGCAGCAGACCCTCACCTCCCTTACTGCTCCCCACGCACTGCCTTCAGCACAAATGTGGCCATGCAGGTATTTGTTCCAGATAGAACAGTTCTAAGCAAAAATACAAACTAACTTGATCAAATGCTTACTTGAGCCAATGCAAGCAGAAATACACAACTGAGGAAGAAACACCTTTGCAAAAAACTGAAGTACAGATATCCTTGTTCAACCTTACTTAGCCTAGAGACACTGCTGCAGTTTGAGCTTAAGCTTCTTTCTGTTCACATTGGTGACTGAGAAGCACAGGTCTACAGAGAAAATCCACTTCTGCTTGATATCAATTAAAAAAAAAAAAAAGAAACCAAACAATCTAATGAACTCATGTAGTATTTTAGATGAAGGTTCTTGGTGAAGAAGGAAACTATTCCATGTGAACAAGCCTTAGATTTCCATCCTCTATGAAACTATATTCACAAGGTACTTGAATTATTTCCTTACTCCACACGGCAGTGTCTGCTGTTTTAGAAAACAGCATCAGGAGCTTCAGCTTTCCCTAAAGAACTGCCCAAGGTTTGAGGTGCCTTAACAAGCTAGGTAAATGCTAACTTTCGTGAGTGCCAAAGGATTTGGGTGAGAAACTTCTGACTGAAATGGAACCACACACATGTAGGACAGCATCACTATCCCACTGTGAGCATTACCAAAGCAAGAACGTCTGAAAGTGTTTGGAGCCAGACTGACTTCAGCTTAGAACTCCTCTGAAAGAATAACTGTTAGCCCCAGACACACCGACATCACTGCTCGCTACCCAGACCGTTATCACCACGTTCGTTTTGACCACACCGCCGGAACCCACCTCCGCACGGGGCAGCGGAGCGCACCGTACCCACTTCACAAGCACTCAGGTCGGGCTCCTCGGCACGTACGCCTCTCAACATCTCCAAAGCGCTCTCAGCCGAGAAGGGCAGGCGGGTCACACCGGAACGCCGCCTCTGCCCGAAGCGGCAGCCGGGCAGGAAGCCACCCCACACCGCCATCCCCTGCTACACGCGAGCTGCGGCCCCGAGCACAGCCACCGCCAGCAGCTCCTGCGCCGGGCTCTTACGTTCTAGCACACCGGCAGTCACGAGCCACGCCAGGCAGAAAGCCGCTTGTCGCCGCTGCTCCTTAAGCCCGAGGCTCTGTCAGCCCATAAACCCACCGGCATATTTCCCCACGGGCTCCGCGCTATTTTCTTAAACGCACGCGGCACAGCTATTAAGCGGCAAGCCGCGGGGCGAAGCTCGCACACAAAGACCACAGCCCTGATCGCCTTAACACCGGGCGGGAGGCTACAGGGAGCCGCAGGGCCGCGGGCCGGCGCCGAGGGCGCGGGTAGCGGCGGGGCCCGAACGGCGGCAGGGCGGCAGGGCGGCAGGGCTGCAGGGCCGCAGCACGGCGCCCCGCTCCCCCCGCCCCGCGGACAGCCCCGGCCCCACCTGCCGCCGGAGCGCCGCACCCGGCCCCATCGCTGTCCGTCCGGCCCCGGCGCCGCTCGGCCGTCGCCCGCGGAAACGAGCGAGCCCCCGAGAACGGGCGGCGGGCGCCCGGCCCGCCGGCGGCACTCACCTCCGTTCCCGGCCGCGTCCGCGGGAGCCCGAGGCGGGAGGGGAACGGCCCCGTCTCCAATTCGAAAGACGTCAGCGGCTCGGGCAGAGCGCTTAAGTACGGGCGCAGCCTACCCCGCTCCCGGCCTCGCGGCTCCCCCCGGCCCAGCGCCGCCGCCGCCCACGCCCCGGCGGCGCTGAGTGGCGGGGTCGGACGGCCAATGGCGGCGGCGGCGGGCCCGCCCCGGTCTTGAGCGGCGCCTCCTTCCACCAACGGGGCGGGCGGCGCGGGCCGCAGGCGCCGGCGGCGGGGCGCGGCCGCGGCGCTGAGTGACGGGGGGAGGCGTCCAACCCGCGGTGCGTGTGGGCGGCGGGCGGTGTGGGCGCGGCGTGTGCGGCAGGCTGGGCTGCACCGCAGCGCATACACTACAATGGCTGCTGGAAGGACGGGAAAGCAAACAATTTCCAGGCCCGCCGCGTCCAGCCCGAAATATGGGGAAAAAATTACAGAAAAATCGGAGAACACTGTAAAGGGTGGAAACGGGGCGCAGAGGGGATGCTGAGGCTCCCGCGGTGAGTCTGCTGCGGGTTTGGGGGGCAAGCGCCGGGGTTTAGCAGGGAAATATCAGGGTTATTTAAATTATGAAGGGGGAGGAGGAGAAGGAGGGGGGAGAGGAGCGAGGAGCGGCGAGCGGCGAGGAAAAGTTGGTGTTAATCATCCCCGCGTCCATCCTTCTCCCCCCGCCGCCCTCAGCCCCCACCGCCCCGCGCCGGACCCCCCCCCCCCCCTCGCCCCGGAGGGGGGAAAAACAGGGAAGGGGAGGCGAGCGCTGCCCCCCGCCCTCCTCCCTCGGAGGGAGAAAGCGATGATTTTCGGCAAAACCTCTCTCAGGAGTTTCCTCCACTCCTCCCCTCCCTCCCCGCGGCGCTCTGGTGGTTCGCGAGAGAGCGGGCGAGGCAGCGCGCTGCCCGGGGCCGGCGGGAGGGAGGGAGGGAGGGCGCGGGGTGCCCGGCGCAGACCCCCGCCGGGGCCGGGGCCGGGGCAGGAGCGGGAGCTGCGCGGCCGCCCCCTCCCCTCCTCGCCCGAGCGGAGCCTGTGCTGCGAAGGCAGTGACAGCGGCGAGAGCGGCGAGAGGGAGCGGAAGACATTAGAGGCGGCGGTGCCGAAAAATGAGGGAAAAAATTAATATAAATTCGCCCCCCGCCTCAAAGCGGCCGAATTTCGCACAGAAATTTCCCCCGCGGACCCGGCTACCCGGAGGGGGTCCCCCGGCCCCGGCGGCCGCCGCTTTGGGGGGGATCCGGAGCGACTTTGGGGCGCTCGCCCCCCCTTCCCCTCGGTTTTTTGGACAAAAGTGGGTTTTTTTTCCGGGGTAAAGCAACGAATTTGCCCGCTCTCCCCCTCCGTGTGGCCCGGGAGCCTTCCCCTGCCCCATCGGCGTGTGTTGGGAGCACAGTGCGGAGCCGAGGAGCGCCGAGCCGGGCTGCGCTGGGGAGGGGGATCGCTAACTGAAAGCAGGAGAGATCCGGAGAGAGAGAGAGAGAGAGCAGGGACAGCTTGTTGTCAGTATCATAAACAACCAAAATGGAGGGAGAACTGAGGCATATAACAAAATAAAAATCAGAAAAAAATGCCAAAAAATACCTAAAAATCGGGGCTGCTCCTCCTTTTCCCCCTCGAGGTGACAGGATAAAACCCCGGGCTTCCCGAGGCCGTTTTCGGGTTTCAGGGAGCAAGGAGTTAATATTTATTATTTTTTTTTTTGTTGATGAATTCTTTGGGAAGGCAAAAGCCTCCTCTCACTCGCCACCGACAATGGGGAAACGTGAAAATCCCTTTCGGGAGGCAGAGGTAGGGGGAGATGGGAGTGCAGAAAGTGCACAACTTTGGGGCAATGCGCAGCGATCCCAGATAAGATAAATGCTGCATGTGCTGCTGGATAACTTCCCTTTTTAATGCTTTTCGGGTGTTTGGGGGGGAGTTTGGAGGTGGGGGCTCCTCTCCTTTTCTCTGCCTTCTTTTTCTGTCCTTTTTATTATTTTTTTTTTTTCGGACCGGAATGCAGTGCCTTTGTAGTGTCACTTTCCTGATCTAATTAGGATGTGTGAGGCAAAGTGTAAACCTTTCCGGTTTATGAAGTGCGTTTTCGTTGCCTTTCAATCTCGAGTTTTCCTGGTGGCTCCCTCCTCTCTTTAAACTGGATCCTGCGGAGCGGTGTGGGGCTGAGGTAATGCTCCACGGGGAAGGCTCGGTGCTCCAGGCAGGCACCCCTCCTGCTCTGCCTGCTGCCCTGCCTGCCACGTCCCTTCACCTGTCTGCGTCCCACCAGGCGGGCGTTCTGCGCTCCCCTCGTTGTGTTTATGTGAAATGAGGATGCCTCATCTCGCCTCACGTTGAAGTTAATGCGAAAGTGCTGCTGATGTTGGTTCCACGTGGGATCAGGGCATTTTAAAGAGACAGCTTCTCTTTTCCTATGGTTCTCAGCGCCTCTGCCTATGGCAGGCGGGTGGTTCGTTGGTTGTTTTTTTTTTTAATGGAAAGGTATCAAATCAGCCCTGGTCTGAAAAATTAGCTGTAGATAACAGGGGGAAATGCTCAGATTCGTTCGGATCGAAGCCATTCTGTTGTGCGTCACGAGGTTTTTCTCGATGTGTTCATGAGAAGGCTGTGTTTTGGAGAGCTCTTTCTGGAGTGGGTGTTGCAGGAATGGAGGAGTCCCATGTTGTTACATTAAAACCTGACCTTGCTGTGCTACCTGTGAGCTCCCTGAGAGGAGACCCTATGTGCGCAGTGCGGTTTCGTGGCTCTTTTGTAGGAGTTGCAAAGTGCATTATTTTTACTGTAAATAAGTTCAGTGTTACTGGGGACACTTGAGTTTGTTGAACAGCATTGCGGCCCTTGTTGTGCGCTTAAACCTTCTGAGCAGTTCCAAAAGGTTTTGAGAATGGTGCAAATAACTGTAGGTTTTAATTGGCCGAACGAGGGGCATTTTTTTTTTTTTTATTTTTTTTACAAGTACACCTTGGCTGTGTAACAACATCACTTGGGAGAATCGCCTCTGGCTTTGTCTAAGAAAAGGAAAAATCATCCTAACCGAGGTCTAGTTTCATGGGATACGTACGCATCTGTGTGTGCACGCGTACTTTTCGCATCCGTTCGGGCTGGTACGGTTTTTCACTTGATTTTTAACTTGAAAATGTTGAACTGTCACAGTGTGAAACGCTCTGCTTCTTTGGATGATCTCCTATGGATTGTGATTTTCAGGAAAACAAGCTGTTTTAAGAAAATTAGTCTCCTCTGAGCATGGCGATTCGATATCTTTGCGAGGAGTTACAGCGTTTCCTTTGCACGTGCTTTGTTTTTGCGGACTGTGTTTGCTTCCAGGTTAGAAATGGAACACAGGTATGGATTTTTGGAGAGGGAAGATGGTGCACTCAGCTTGTAGGGAGGCTGCTGGAGCAAATGTTTGCTTTGAACCTCTGGAATTTGAATATCAGTTGTGGCAGCCCTTTGTGTTTGATAGCATGTGTTCGCAAATGGTCCGTACCTTCCCTGCAAGTGTGACCAAAGAGCTGTTGTACAGTGGCTGTTGACTGGGGCAGCCTTGTGGTTGGAGATTTTGGAAGAAAGCTCCAAGTTTTCCACTGAGTCACACTTGTGAAAATTAAATCACATCAGTTACTCCTAGGCTTGAAAAGGAGCTCATTAGGGAAGGAAGATTAATCAGTTTGTGTAAAGGAATGACACTGAACATATTTCCATAACTGTCTTTTGGGGGTGAGAGATCTTTTTTGTTGTTAGCGAGAATTCATGCTTCAAAATTCCTTCCCAAACCCTTTTTTTTTTTTCTTTTTTTCTTTCTTTTTTTTTTTTTTTTTTTTTTTTACACTGATCTCTTCTTTTTACAGACTGTGAAGGTATTTTGTCCTGAAATTTGTAGAAAGCTGATAAATTAATAGCAGTACACTGCATGTTGGTGTTTGGTTATTTTTAATGTACCATGGTGAGGAGCAGTGGCTGCACAGAACCAACTGCAGGGAACTGGTTGGTGGTGCTGAGAGCAGTATTTAAGAGCTCTTAAAACAGCACATCTGTGACAGTGAGTGCGAAGCATTAAATATGTTACAGCCCTTTCACCTCCTTCAGAGCTTCTGAATGATCAATTTGGTGATGCTGAGGATAGGTAGGGGCGTCCATCCTAACAATAGGAAAGAAACACATGTTGTGGGGGATGGCTCTTGACCTACAGCTGTGCATTACAAAGTAAATTCAGTGTATCCAACTATAGCAGAAAACTCAGGACATAGGGAGGAGGAAGGGTGTTCTCACAGAATTTGATGCTCTTCTGAAATGGATTTGCTTTTAAGCTATAATCCAGACGATGAGGACAATAGAAGTAGATAAATGCTACTTAGGATTGTTTCTTACGAATAGAATTACTGTCTTTTTGTAGAAAACTGAATTCTTGCAGGGATGATGTGGTGTGTAATAAAAACAGAAATAATTTTCCAAGCTTCCTTACTTCTAAGAGTTGAGCTAATCTTCTCTGTTACACGTTGCTTTGGTTATATATGATTTTGCTATGTTTTTTCATGATTTTTTGAAATTAAAACACCCAAAGAAACCAAAACTGTGGGGCAGTTGTTGGTAAAACTACCCAAGTTCCTGCTGGTAAAGTGGGGAGTTGGAAGTGTATTGAAGACCTACTGAGATATGTATCAATCCTATTCACTGATGTTTAAAAGTTATTAACTTCAGTATTCTACAACAGTACAGCAAATACGGGAATCTGAACTGACACGTATTGAACTTTTCTTGAGTGCTTGGTTCAAGTGTAATTCTTGATGCGTACATTTTACATAGTAATAATCCTGAAAAATGAGTTTTCCAATGTAGAACATTGAGATTTAAATTAAAAAACTTTGTGAGAGTGTGTGGAATTCCAAAAGCCCCTATTTCCCAGGTGCAGCCACTCCTAATGGTCGTCCATCTGCACACGTAGGCAGTCAAAATGGTGCCCTTCAGTCCCCTCCTTTCAGGGCAGTGCATGTGTTTTAAAAGTAAGGGCTTAAAGAGGGCACTACTCCTGCCCTAAATAAACTACTATTTTTAACTGTTTCAGGTTGTTTTGTTAGAAGGGATGTTTTATTTCGGTCTAAAACAAAGTTTCTGCAATTCATCAGTAACCTCTGGTGTATTTA